GCTCCCATGACGATTTACAGCTTCAAAAACTACAGGGTTTCTATGAGTTGAATCGAACTCCATGGCACATAACCACCAACCACTAGTGGAGTCCTGGGGTGCTGTAGGATAAATGCTACCCTGACTGCAAGGCTTACACCCTTTGCAGAGTTGCTATGAGTTGTAATCAGCTCAGACATGTAACCACACACATCAAGGCATTTCAGAATTCCAAAGAAATCCAAAAGCTTGAAAACAAAACAGTTTACTTAAATAAGCTTGAACTGGGCCTACTTAGGGACACATTGAAGAGGCCCTGGTGGTACAGTAGTTAAGCAATGGACTGCTAGCAGTGGTTGTGCAGTCCAGTTGGTTCTAATTTGAGATGGTAAGTGCTGTGGAATCGATTCCGACTCTTAGCAACCCTGTACAAGTTTTCCGAGGCTGTAAATCTTTCCAGAAGCAGAAAGCCTCATCTTTTTCCCGCGGAATGGCTGGTGGTTTCGAATTGCCGACCTTGAGGTTAGCAGCCCGGTTCATAACCACTATGTGACCCTATATAGAGTTACAGAGGAGCAGCTGGTGAATTTGAACTGCCAAGTTGTAGTCAAGTGCAGTATCCCGCAGTACCATACCAGGACACCAACTGGTGGGTGATTCAAATCTACCTGTTGCTCCAAAGGAGAAAGATGTGACAGGTCTGCTTAAAACAACACATAAAGAGTGTTGTTAAAGTGCTGTCTAGTTGGTTCCGATTCATAACAACCCTGTATAGGGTTTCCAAGCGGCAGCTGGTGGGTTTGAACCACTAATCTTGTGACTCAAAATTGACTGTGTGGTCCATCACATTATCCATAGAATTATTATTGTTAGGTGCCATTAATTCAACACAGACTCATATGCACACCAGAACAAAACACTGCCTGGTACTAGGCCAACCTCACAATCATTGCTAGGCCTGAGCCCATTGAGGCTGCCACTGTGCCAATACATCTGGTTGGGGGTCTTCTTTATCTCCAAGGATTGGTCCCTTCTGATAATATGTCTGAAGTATGAGACACGAAGATTGGCTGTTCTGGCTTCCAAGGAGTCCTCTGGCTGTGCTTCTAACACATACCTGTTGGTTCTTTTGGCAGTCCATGGTACTTCAGTATTCTCCAACACCATAACTCAAATGCATCAATTATTCTACAGGCTTCCATATTCACTGTTCAACTTTCACATGCATATGAGGTTATCGAAAACACCATAGCTTGGGTCAGGTATACTTAGTCCTCAAACTGACACCTTTGCTCTTCCAACACTTTAAAAAGATCTTATATAGCAGATTTGCCTAATGCAATATGTCATTTGATTTCTTGATTGTTCCTTCCATGAGTGTTGATGGTTGTTTCAAGCAAAATGTAGTCTTTGACAACTTCAGTCTCTTCCCCATTTATATGGATGTTACTAATTGGTACAATTGTGAGGATTTTTTTCTTCTTTGCATTGAGATGCAACTCTTACCTAAGGATGTGGTCTTTGATCTTTAATAAATAAATATTCTAAGTCCTCTTTCAACAAGCAAGGTTGTCTTATCTGCATATCTCAGGTTATTAATGAGTCTTCCTCCAATTAAGATGCTATGTTTTTCTTCAAATAATCCAGCTTCTTGAATTAATGTGCTCAGCATACACATTGAATAAGTATGATGAAAAAAATATAACCCTGGCATATATCTTTCCTGATTTTAAACCATTTGGTGTTTGCTTTTTCTGTTTGAACAATTGCCTCTTGATGTACGTACAAGTTCTTTATGAACATAGTTAAGTGCTCCGGAATACTCATTCCTCGCAGTGTTGTCCATAGTTTGTCATGATCCACACAATCAAAAGTCTTTGCGTAGTCAATAAAGTACAGGTAAACATCTTTCTGGTATTCTCTGCTTTCAGCCAAGATCCATCAGACATCAGCAATGATATTCCTCATTCCACGTCCTCTTCTGAATCCAGCTTGAACCTCTGGAAGATTTCTGACAATGTATAGTTGCAGCCATTTTTGTATTCTCTTTAGTGAAATTTTACTTGCTTGTGATATTAATGATATTGTCTGATGATTTCTGCAGTCTGCTGGGACACCTCTCTTTGGAAAGGGCACAAATATGGATCTCATTCAGTCAATATGCCAGGTAGTTGTCTTCCAAATTTCTTGGCAAAGATGAGTGAGTACCTCCAGTGCTGCATCAATTTGTTAAAAGATTTCAATTTGTATTCCATCAATTCCCAGTGCCTTGTTCTTTGCCAATGCCTTCAATGTACTTCTTCCTTAAGTATCATTGGCTCTTGATAAGCTACCTCTTGAAATGTCTGAATATCAACCATTTCTTTTTAGTACAGTGACTCTGCGTATTCCTTCCATCTTCTTTTGATGCTTTCTGAATCATTCAAGTTTGCCCATAAAATCCTTCAATAATACTACAACTCAAGGCTTGCATTTTCTCGTCAGTTCTTTAATCTTGAGAAATGCTGAGCATGTTTGTCCCTTTTGGTTTTCTAACTCCAGATCTTTGCATATTTTGTTATAATATTTGACTTTGTCTTCTTGAGCTGCCTTTTGAAATTTTGTGTTCTACTCTTGTACGTCCTTACTTCTTTCATTTGTTTTAGCATCTCTATGCTGGAGAACAAGTTTCAGAGTCTCTTTTGACATTCATTTTGGTCTTTTCTTCTTTCTTGTCTTCTTAATGATCTTTTGCTTTCTTCCTGTATGATGTTCTCGATGGGTGTCATCCCACAACTCATCTGGTCTTAGGTCTTTAGTGTCTAATGCATCAAATCTGTTCTTCAGATGATCTCTAAATGCAGGTGGGATATTTTCAAGGTTATATTTTGTCTCTTGTGGACTTGTTTTAATTTTCTTTATTGTCACCTTGAACTTGCATATGAACAATTGATGTTCCACAGTCTGCCCCTGGCCTGTTTTGATGATACAGACCGTTTCTACCATCTCTTTCCACAGATCAATTTGATTTCTGTGTTTTCCATCTGGTGAGGTCCATGTGTATAGTCATCTTATGTTGTTTAAAAAGGTATTTGCAATGAAGAAGTCATTGGTCTTGCAAAATTCTGTCATTTGATCTCCAGCATTGTTTCTATCACCTAGGTCATATTTTCCAAATACTAAGGAAGCCCTTTGTTTCCAAGCTTTGCATTCCAGTTGCTATTAATTATCAATACATCTTGATTGCAGTTTTGATCAATTTCATACTGAAGAAGTTGTTAGAATTCTTCAATTTCATCATCACTGTCTTTATTGGTTGGTGATTAAATCTGAATAACAGTGGTATTAAGTGAGCTTCCTTGTGGATACATGGATATTATCCAATCACAGACAGTGTTACACTTCATGATAGATCTTGATATGTTCTTTTGATGATGAATGCGACACCACTCTTCCTCAATTTGTCATTCCTGGCATAATAAGCCATGTGTTTGTCAGATTCAAAATGGCCAATACCAGTCCAT